CAAACAGCCACAGCACGCTGCCCCACACGAGGGCCGCGAACAGCGGGAAGGGGTCACGTGCCGGCGTGGGGATCCAGCCCTTCTCCGAGCCCACGCGCGCCGCCGCAAACAGCACCCGCGACAGCAGGTACATGTTGATCTGGGTACACGCATGCGGGCACGGGGGAGAGAGAGATGCGTGTTTGTGTGTGCGCATGGGGTTGGTGGAGGAGTGGTGGACACGTACGTGCGTGCGGGCAGTGGAGACATGAAGGACGTGGGGGTGATGGGGAGCCAGTGGTGTGGGATGGTGAGAAGTGACAGGAGATACGAGCATGAGATGGAAACACGGGTGTGAGGGTGCGAGAGGGAGAGACACGGGCATCAGATGAGGAGAGGTGGGGGGGCGTAGAGAGGCACTGGAGTGAATCCGGGAGAGGCAGCGTGGTGCGAGACACCCACGGGTGTTGGACGAGAGCATCGAGGGTGCAAAATCGTGAGAGGCGAGTGTGGGAGCCGAAGGAGCTGGAGAGCCACAGTCTCACCTGGCTGGGAGCCACAGTCTCACCTGGCTGTTGACCTGGTTGTTCTCTCCGAACACGAGCCAACCCCCGAGCGAGGCGGCCAGGAAGGCGTGGACGCTCTTTTTCTGCCCGCCCGTCGCCACGCGCAGCAGAGCCATCGCCCCCTTGTAGAGCAGCACGAAGCAGGCGAGGTTCCGCGAGTGCTGGTACGTCGCTCGCAGGATCGCACGCACCTTCTCCTCCAGGCTGGTTTAAAAAAAAAAGACATTCCCCCGTATAGCCTTTAACGGACCGTTGGGACGAGTGCAGTTTGAGAGCACTGATTCACGCCGGCATGGCACACGAGGCGGTGGGCGGACAAGCACCACGCCCGGCTGCCTTTATCTACCCGGTGGTGATGTTTACACGCTGCACCAGGTACTTTTTTGAGGCTGCGTACACCCTAAGGGAGCCAAAGGAGTGGTTCAGATCGCAGTTATCAAATGTTGGCTGTGAGCGGGAGTTTAACTCAGGTCACCACTGCTCCGCTGCTCCGCGATGCTCCACGCACCACGGTGCGTGGAGCATCGCGGGTCATAATTACGGGATACATTTGTCCTGCTGGGTTGTAAGTGGTTAATTCTCTTCTCAGTGGCAGGCTCTGCATTTATAAAAATTTCAAACATAGCAAGATATCATGGCATATTTCACTATACCTCACACACCGGACAGTGTGCATTCATGATGATAGGAAGCAGAGACGTTTCAGCATAGTACAGTACCACAATGGCTTTTATTGCACTGCCCTCTGTAGAAAACAATCGCCTAAACCAGCTGGGGTTTTTATGCATGGTGGTAACCTATCCAAGCGTTTTCCAGGCTTAAGCCTGCTTAGTTGGGACGCGTTCCGGCTGATTCGCTCATGGCGGTGTGCAGCAACGAATCTTTTACACGGACAAGCGTGGGAGAGCGGTGACGGAGCCGATGGCGGCGTGCGTGAGACCGGCGTGGGCGCTGTGACGGTGCGATCCATCTTTGCCGTCACCTGCCGGTCCGGAAGAGGAAGGTCATGACCAGCGCGTGCGGCGCCCGGATCTTCGCTCCGTACCTGCGCCCGTTCGCAGGAGCCACAAGGCAGTTCACAACGTCCGACGCATTATGACAATCGTGTGACCGTCACCGCACGTCGTAAACACGGCACTGTGCATTTCGCAACAGAGCCAATGAACCACAAATGTGCTGAAATTGGTAATATAAACTCTGAGAGTTCCATCACATCTGCTTGCACACAAACTATTATAGTAAACTACTAACAGTTGTTTGTCTCTTAATGGGCGTATTTAACTCTCTTGGTTGAAGAATACAATTCCCTGACCATGTGCTTGCCCTACCAATGCCGTGGCCATCACCATTGTCCTGCCAATACCAGGGCTTATTCCCTCACCCTTAACTACTGTATCCCTACTCCTAGTCATGGCCCTTACTCCGGCTGAACCTTACCACCTATGTCTACCCCTACCGCTATCCTACCCCCAAACTTTAACTTTTCAGCACACCACTTAAAATGTGCTGGTTGAAAGCGGCACATGCCATGCCGGTTATGATAGCCGTTGGAGCATACTTCACCACCCTGGTAAGTGCAGCTATTACCAAGATATGAATGCTAATAGTGCGATAACCAATGCGCTAATGCTCAACGACCACTTTACTTTGTGTAGCAATGAAAACGTCCTCGAGTCTCTGGCTCTTTCAGAAGGGTCCTGCCAGATTTTTTCAGTAGGGGGCAGCAGCACACGCTGGGTTATATAATCGAGTGAGAGATTACAATATGGGTATTTTTTTTATACACATTTTGTACATTTGGACCGTGACGCCGAGACAAATTGCCTACCCCGACCCGCGCCTAATCGTCACATTTATCCCGCCTCCCGCACTCACACGGGATGTCACCTCCCTCGCCTGCTGTGCACGAGGTCGTGGGTTCGATCCAGACCACGACGCCTGCTTGCTCTATATTTGAAGTTAACATTTGTCTCTCGCCCCGTGGATTTTTCTCCGAGTTCTCCGTTTTGCCCCTCCCCATTTAGAATCAACACCACGAGTTTGGAGGAGAGTTTTTAGGCTGCCGCTATAAATGTCCACGTGAGGTTTCGCCACTACGTTGAGCTGTGATTTGTGACCGCAAGGTCGCTTCTGAACAGAAGAGCTCTACATAGTTCAGTGGGCTTGCCCTGGCAAAACAAATCAGGTGTATTGTTCATAGCTGGGGGCCCCTTTGGTTCGTGTTCACGGTAGTCGCGGGCAGCACTTGTCCCGCGCGCTGCAAAGTTCAGCAGCAGCAGCGCCCCCCATTCACCTTCGCCCTCAGACAACTGCAGAGGGCCCGAGCCGGCTACCCCCTGAGCAGCAGCAAGGAGGAGGATGAATGCAAGCGGCGTGCGGCACTCACACGGCCCCATTGCGTAGCCCCTTGAGGGCGGCGAGCGCCGGCTGGAGGCGCCTCTGCGCCAGGAGGCGGTTCAGCAGCAGCAGCAGCTGGCGGGCGGCCGCCGGCACCTCCATGGCGGCGTCAGCGTGCGCGTGACGTCACTTCCTTCCGCACCGACAGCGGGGGGGGGGTGCAGCAGCACGACACTTCCGGCGAGGGACGGGCCATGTCAGGTCAGAGAGGAATTACCTCTAGAGGCTGCACGGACATTCATCAGCAGGTCAAGCCCACTGATCTATATTATTATATTCTAAACTAGCTTCACTAGCCCGGGACTTGGATTCTTGTCTTAGATGCGTACACGGCCGACGCGGAGGCTTGGGGGATGAGTGACGTCAGCAGGCACACTGCGTGACGCTGCCGCGTGCGGGTGACATCACAGTTGTGACGTCACCGCTCACTTGCCGTGCAAAATCTGTGCATTATTGCGCGCCCCCCCCCCCCCCCCAAATACAAAAGTCTATTTTTATACTTTTTGCATTATGTACAGTCTGGAAGCTACCCACATGCCAAATTTCAAGTTTGTTGCATTTCAGGAAGTATGCTAAACATTTCGAATAGATTCACTAATGTCCCTTGTGTATATACAGAGCTCTTTTGTTTTATACTCCAGGAGGAATCTGGCGAGATATCAAGATATATATATATATTTTTCTCACAGATGTCAGAACATTACAACAACAAACAATACACACGATAGGTGTCCAAAGTATAAGGTAAACAATTCACTTAAAAATATCCACGCACATCTAAACTGTTTCATCTTACCAGGTAAAGCACACCTGAGGTATACACTTATACTGGTAGGAACCACCTGGTTCCACCAGCCCACAGGGGATTATTGTGTCCGTCTGTCCGTCGTGCATCCACAAATGGGAGAGGTGGGGCTGGGTGGAGAGGGGAGAGTGGGGAGAGGCTGGGTGGGGAGGGTATGGGTGGGGAGGGTGGGGAGGGGCTGGTCACCCCGTGGTGCCCTTATAAAACTCAACATTTAACCTACTCACGCCGGCTTGTGCCCGCCCTCACAGTCGGCCCTTGTTGTTGTCCATCCTACACGTGTCCAAATAGTGTCAGTATCCTTCTCATCACAGCCTGCATCGTCTCTGGTCAGGCACCTGTAATTCGCTTGTCAGAGGATTTACCTGTCGAGTTGGTACACGTGGCCGACTAATGTCAGATAGCAACATGTACGCGCAGCATATTTACGTTTGAGAACCGAACATGTGTAATACCGTGCTTCTTGATTTGATGTCTCCTCGGTTGTGAAACTTATATTTTATATTGCCAATACTTGTAATTTATTTTATATTGTCAAAAGATGTGCAACAAACGCAAATAATTATAATCTGAATATGTATAGATAATTAAAGATACATTAAATAAGTTGAAATCAAACTTATATAAAGATCAAACAGCAATATATCATGGCATACACTGGGTGGGAATAACACAGTACTGAAGACTGACACGAGGTGCCAGCAACGATTACAGCAGCAACCTGACACGGTTTATTGTAAATTAATGTAATTATTTAGCCAGAATATTCTTAAAATCCTAGAGAAAACAGAAAAGAACCTCACAATACATATTACCTTGGCATTTCAGTACGTAAAAAATTAACCCGTAAAAACAAAGTTTTTCACTATAAATCCTTTATATGCGTGGCATCGGTTTATTTTATTATTCATTTCTGTTTTTCTTGAGTAAGAGTTTCATTTTTATCACATTGGTATTTTAAATTAAATATGAAAAAAAAAATTCCTAAAAAGTGGAAAAAAATTTTCACGAAAATAAATTGTCACGTAATTTTAGATTTGAAGCTTTCGTGACTGCAAGGATTCATACAAGCTTGGGTTGCCTCCGAAACGTGATTTTAATGTTTTATTTTTATTAATTTCATTTTTTACCTACGTGACTTTACCGAAAGACCTAAGAGTATAAATTGTCACGCACAACGAGTCTGTGTGCAAAATGTCAGCTCGATTGGATCACGGGAAGTGGGTTAAAAAACGACCGAAAGATTTGCACGGTCGTAAGCGCGCAAGCAAGCAAGTGAACTTAATATAAAGGATTTAACAAGTAAACCCGTAAAAACAAAGTTTTTCACTATAAATCCTTTATATGCGTGGCGGCTAGAGTCTTCTCGTCCTCTGGCTTGAGATGGCTGCAATCTATGGGTCAGATGATTGTCTGCCAGTATTAAGTAATTGGTAATTAAATATTTAATTTGTTTTCCCTAAACAGTGTAAAATTTTGGAAAAAAATTTTCAGGAAAATTGTCACACAACGAGTCTGTGTGGAAAATGTCAGCTCGATTGGATCACGGGAAGTGGGTTAAAAAACGAGCGAAAGATTTGCACGGTCCTAAGCAAGCAAGCAAGCACGCAAGCAAGCACGCAAGCAAGCGAACTTAATATAAAGGATTTAAAAAGCCGATTAATGATATTGTAAAGGTATGGAAATGAGTGGTTTCTTATATTGTTGCAAATCAACGGCTTCTCTAATAGCAAAAATAAGGTTTGTCCAATGCACATCCCTGCATACTTGCTGGACAGTGCACACCTGTGATGTACACCTGGGCTGAGACTCCAAAGGCTTAAAATGCCTAATCTGTCACTCTGTCCCAGGGCAGCAGATACCTTTTATCTGATGAAATTTTTTTGGCTATTTGTGAAATTTCATCACTTCTGGATTTGTTGAATATTACACTAACACAATGAGATGGACGGATGGGTTTTGAATAACGCGTATGTGTAAAATACCACGCTTCAGTGTTGAACTGTATAGTATATACACGAGACAAATACACTTGATCATGCACTGTAATGTTAGGGTTCATACTGGATGTATTGGGCTTTGCATTTGCCTTGTGCTATGCCTGCACACAAGTCGTGAGGTACAGAACTACAGCACAGATATATTTTTTATCATCGCCCATCACCTCAACAGTAAAGATGTGCACCACTTTGAGCGAAGTCGCCAGTGGTTGCCCTTTAACACGTGATCCCGTCACGCAAATATGTAATTCCAAGGCCCCGAAAGATTACCAGACTGCTCACCTTTCATTTGAGCCACGCGACACTTGTGATTGGCGATTTCCACGTAATGTATGTTGAGAATCGTACATTTTTCCCTTTCGTTACATCGTGTACCTGTTCACGCCACGCAGCTGGCCTGACATCAGGGGTTTTGCTTACATTCACACGCACCTGCGAGGGATTTTGGGCTGGGGAAGGTATTGATTTTGTGCTGGGGAAGGTATTGATTTTGTGCTGGGGAAGGTATTGATTTTAGGTGGAGTCTCGCACTGGATCAGCAGAAGGAAGCGTGCGCACACAACAGCTCGCAAACCTCACGCCACGGGCACCGTCTTGAGCTTGGAGACACTCAGTCACTTGCAGTCTTGGAACCATTTCAGTGCTTTGTGATGTGTGTTTTGGAAAGTTCAAAGCGACGCATGTTTATAGCGGAGTATTGTTTTTCAAGCTGTGCACGTTGTTATGAAAACCTCTTGGAAATGCAAATAGTTTGCGCCTCTTGAATGTCAAAAATGTCCCTGTAATTCCACACGTGTTGAAGACGAGCACATTATGCACCTGTTTGTAATTTACAGGGTATCGATTTTCATGTTTGACAAATGTTTTACTGCTCTTTAAGGAAGCCAATATCTTCATCAGGCCAGATGGTGTAAGAGCCATCAAGTCAATCACAAATTTGCAAAGTCAAATCTCGGGAGGTAGACTCAGCTTATCATTTCCATGGGGCGGGTAAAACAGATGCCCCATATTTTGTAAATATAGTGGTTGTCCTATGAAAAAGACTGTAATTTGAAATGTAAAACTGCCTCATAAACATCGATGGTAATTGATAGTTTAATGAGACAATTGACTTGGCTTCGTAGAAAAATCCCTCCTGGTTGAACTACAAACCAATGTACTGCCAGAAAACAGTGTTTGAGCGCAATTTTTTTTGTTACAGATAAAGCAGAAAAGAACAATAAACAGCATCCAATCTCCCCACAGGCATGCCTCAGCACCACGTGGTGAGGTGCGACCTCACAATCAGCTCACCTTTCACATCAACTTCGCAGCTCAGCATGGCTACATTAAGGAGGCGATGCAAGCCAAGTATGTGGTACAGACACATTCTACTTCGTAGTTTCCTTCCATTTATTTCAAGCACCATAGGTTTTTTTGTTCATAAATAATTTTGAAACAGTGTGAGGACGCAATTACAGAACATGGACTGACTTATCAAATGTATAGCTTTCCAGTGATTAGTGACAGAATATGCACAACAAGGTTTATTTACAAGTATAATCTGCTTATAGCTTGAGTGACATATATACAGTACACACATTTCGTATATCGTGGTATTGAATGAAACATGTGTATGGCACGTTGGGTTGCCCTGCTTTGTGCCCAGGCCTGTCGAGTCTTGTGGCCACCGACAGAAGCATCTTTGGGTCAACTCCCTTCCGTCGTCTCTTGCTTATCTCCATCATCCTTCGAGACAATCACTACACGTGAGCAATAGTGTATGAAACTGTGCAGGCGATCCTGTGCTATAGACTTTTAAGTGTTATTCTCCCCTATGTGTGAGTTGCATCCAGGTACTCAAATTTCTTCCTATATGCATGTGTAGTGACATATATGGGGTCACTACGGCAGTTCCAAGGAGAACCAGGGTGTAAATGGTCCTCTATCAGCGGCATGTGCTGGGGCAACAAGGAGAGTCCATGAGGGGCATGGCTCCGGTGAATGCAGAGAGGGGGCATGGGAGGACGAAACAGTCTAAGCGAACCCGAGAGGGCATGTGACCGGACAGAAGAGGCAATGTGACACGTGGTGTAGGGGTCCTCGTTCTCCTGGTAAGATCCAAAGGGGGCGTGGCCGAGGGCGGAGCCAGGCCACGCTGAGGGGCATATGAGACGAGTCCAGAGAGCGATCTGGGCTGTCTTCTGGGAATCAACTCGCTGTCTACGTCTCTTCGGTCTCCGGGCTTTGGGGCTTGTTAGTCGTGGACCAAGCAGGGTGTTAACGGACCTGGTCCGGTTATATAGTTACCCCGTGGTGGTTACCGCTATGTAGTATCCCGTTGTATGGTTAGGTAGTGGACCAGAATACAGAGAATTAACTGTGTTGTACGTTATGTAGTGACCCTGTTGG